GGGGGGGGGGGGGGGGGGGGGGGGGGGGGGGGGGGGGGGGGGGGGGGGGGTTCCAGCTTGGCTGGTGGTGCAGGGAGCCTTCTGTCTTCCTCACCCGGGGTCCTGGGGGGTTGTTCGCTTGGGCAGCGGGGGCAGAGATGGGAGCTGGGGCAAGTTGGATGATAGCTGCTCTGAGCTCCCGGAATGTCTAAACCCCGGAAAGACCCAGCAATTAGTCACGGGAGCAATTACGCTAATTGTTCCACTCCATGACTCACTGGTAGCGAGTAAATACTGATTAATTCATTACTTTGCGTGCGTGCGTGCGTGCGTGTGTGTGTGTGTGTGTGTGTGTGGTAACAGGGGTGGGGTGGAGGGATGGAGGGAATCTCCTGGCTTGCTGCCCTGGCCTCTTGCCCCGGCTGGCCTGGGGAGGGCGGTGCAGCAGGTGGTGGAGGCTGGGGCCGGAAGCCAAGCCAGGATTGGGGTCCTCTTGAGAGCTGTGTGCAAACCCCAGAAGGGGCCCCATCAGGGCACTGAGGCCTAGCTGGCCCTGTCCCCTTCCTGCTCACACACCTTCCGTGGTTCGTTCCCACATCGGTCAGACGGTGCGAATGCTCAGACTCTCCCTCAGATCCGCTGAAGCACCGAGTTCAGTGTTCATGATATTCTGATGTGAGGTCAGGACAAAAAGTAACCAGTGTCCAGGATGGAGTTGTCACCTGGTCACTGAAAGTCCCCCGTGATGGGGCTTCCCCAGCAGGAGCTCCAGCCTTGCCCCGGGCTCTAGTCCCATCTCCCAGCTCAACTCCTTCTGTTCTGTAACAGGCATTTCCTGCATATTATGTGCCAAGCAAGGTCCCGCCTCCGCCCATCAAGATGCAGTTCTGTGGGGCGGGCTGTCACCGAACAGGGATGCACCCAAGCAGACCCAGCTCACAAAGGATGATAGATGTGAATTCGGGACCATAGGATCCTCTGAGAGATCAGAATAGGGCGGACTTCTCGATAGAAGGGATAGACTACACGTTAGCTGGCCAAACATTGGTCAAAGCAGGAATGGGAAGGAAGAGTGTTCTGGGCGGAGGGAACAGTGTGAGTAATAGGCAGGAGAGACCAGGCGTAGTCTGGGAATAGAGAGCTGTGAGTGTGGCTGGAATCCAGCACCTGGAGGGGCGCAGAGGGACCCTGGATAGGGCTGGAGGGCGGGCATGGCCAGTCCTGGGAGCCCGGGCTGCATTCCCCACCTCGGGGCCTTTGCGTGTTTCTACCCCACTGCTGGAGATGCTTTCTCTCTGTTTGGTTGGTTCAGCCCCAAGTGCGAATTCTCCAAATCCCGGCACCAGGAGTCAGTCTCACGTTCGTGGGGAAAGCCCCCAGGGGCAGGGACTGTGGCTCTACTGGCCTCAAGCCAGGGTCAGATGTGTGGCGGGAGATGGGGCCCAGCCCGCCCCCAGGGAGGGGGTGCCTCCTGCCTTGCTTGACCCTTGTCCTGGCTGTCCTCCAGGGTTGCAGTGGGGAGGGCAGGCCCTAGCTCTGGGCCTCCCCAGCTTCTGACACTGGGAGGAAGGAGTCTGCGGAAGCTTCGAGAAGCCCCTCGCACCCTTCCTGAGATGGAAGTGGCCTTTGGGCCCTGAGCTGACTCAGGCATCAAGGTCCCCAGCAGAGTCTGAATCTCATCGAGTCACGTGCTCCCTGGTGACCTAGGGCAGCCGAGTGGACCTCCGCTCCGTCCCCTGCAGAGGGGGGCTGGTGGCCGCGGCTACACCAAGAGTCCCGCTAATCTGTGCTGAGCACTTGTTGCATACCAGGCGCCCTGGGCGCCGCACAAGCCTCTGCACACCGCGTGCTCATGGCACCGGGCAGCCAGCGCTTCGGGAGATGAGTACAGTGACGTCCCCCATTTAGTAAGTGATGAAGGCAGGACTCACACCCAGTGTTCTGGCGCTGAACCCACTTCTGCCGCCCAGTAGCTCTGATCAGGGCGTCGGAGAGCGGCTGGGTCCCCAGTGGGGACCGCCAGGCAGGAAGGTGGGCTACCGCCCTGGCCCCTGGGGGGGCAGGAAGTGGCATTCAGGCCGGCCCTGGCTTTGTTTGCCCGTGTGGTGGCCACGCCTGATGCCGTCCCTCACTGTCACTTGGCCTCTGAATGTGTCTGTGGTCCATCTGGGCATGTCCGGGCCCCTGGCCTCAGGTGCTCAGCTCTGTGCCCGCCTCTGCTCCCCTCAGGCCCAGCGCTGGCGCAGTGAGAACTTTGAGAGGCCGGTGGACCTGGAGGGCTCTGGGGATGACGACTCCTTCCCTGATGATGAGCTGGATGACCTCTACTCGGGGTCCGGCTCGGGCTGTAAGTACTTCCCCCCTCCTCGCTCTGTGCCTGGGCAATGCCATCTGCCTCCAGTGCCCGAGGCTCTTGGATTGCTGGGAACAGGGGCCCACGCAGCCTGGCCTCATGGTGGGGGGTGAGGGGACGGGGCGGGGGCAGGCAGGGGAAGCTCCTGGGACCCAAGCGCCGGGAAGGGCAGCCTGTCCTCCCGGGCCTGCTGCCAGGGCCTCTGAGCTCGGGACTGCCGCTCCCTGCAGTTCTGCCTCTCCCCTGCTGCCTGTGGCGGGGAGCACGGATGCCCCTCCGTAACCCGTTTGCAGCACTGCCCCGACCTCTTGCAGAACTTAGTAGCCACTTCTCAGATTTACAGTGGCAAATCCTCAGCAGAAACCCTTTGCGTGACTCAGCCTGGGCTCCTGTCCAGCAGCTGTGGCTCCGGGGCAAGTTTGGGGAGCAGTGGAGAGGGGCAGCTGCCGCCGCCGCACCTGGGACAGCCCGGTCCCACGGCCTGGGGGGAAGGGCCGGGGGAGGAACATGTGGTGCGGGGGGCGGGGCGCCCCCGCCGCTTTGGACCCCAGCTCTGGCACTTGGATGCGTGCTACCTCCAGCCCTGTGTCGTCTCCCTCCTGGGAATGACAGAATAAACATGCCTTCTTCTCAGAGCCTCTGGGAGGCTTCCGTAAAAGACATCAGGGACCGGAACAGAGAAGGAGCTCTAAGAACAGTAGAAGAACAGGGTGTGTGTTCGTGGCACCTGGCCGGCTCATTGAGAAGAGCATGTGACTCTTGATGTTGGGGTTGTGAGTTGGGAGCCCCACTTTGGGTGTAGAAATTATTTATTTATTTTTATTTCTTATTTATTTTATTTTTTTTAACTTTTCTTTTATTTTTTTAATGTTTTGAAATGTGTATTTAGTTTTGAGAGACAGAGTGCAGGCAGAGGAGGGACAGAGAGGGAGACACAGAAGCTGAAGCAGGCCCCAGGCTCTGAGCTGTCCGCACAGAGCCCCACACGGGGCTCGAACTCACGAGCTGTGAGATCACGAGCTGTGAGATCACGACCTGAGCCGAAGTCGGACACCTAACCAACTGAGCCACCCAGGCGCCCCAAGATTGCTTTTCTTTTTAAAGGGGGTGTGTGCAGAGACAGCCCTGCGAGGGGACGTGCTGGGGGCCTGGCCACCGTGGCCCTCTGCCTCTAGTGTGCCCACTTTAGCCCTGCTCCATTCAAGCCTCTTGCAAGTTAATCTTTGTAAAGTCCTCTCTGCTGGGTCACACCTCTACTCCTGAGCATCTCTGGCTGCTCTCCACCCCTCCCCTGCCGGCTCAGGGGCCCAGGGAGGGGGCTGTACCTTCTCTCTCTCTGTCCCTTATTTCCTCCCGGGGCCCCTTATCTTGTCCTGGCTCCGAGTCGGCCAGCTCGCTCAAGCACCCCCTGTAGGAAGGCTCCTTCTCCTCCTTGCTGTCTTCCTGTGGCCTGTGCCTCCGGAAGCCCTTAATGTGCCCACCACCTCATGCCCGTGGTTGAGTTTACCCAGGTCTGACTTCTCCCAGAATGCCACTCCCCTGCTTCCCCTCAACTCTTAGCAAAATCTGCAGCCCGTAGGGCTTTTGTTGCCACTACCTGGATGTAGCCTGCCACTAGGTCCAGAGTGGGTGGTCTGGAAAAATCAGAGAAGACTTCCCGGAAGAGGTGCCCATCCCAGAGGACTTTTTGGCTAGGCAGGGAAGACTTAGGGAACATGCACCAGGCACCAGCCAGCTGTTAGCCCGTGGCCAGGCTGTGCCTTACTTCTTTCCGTCGTCTTGTCCGAGGGAGATTGCACGGAGTAAGGGTTGGGAGCCGCCCCGTGTAAACAGCCACTGCTTACCTGGGGCCCTCATGCCCTCACAGTCAGCCAGCTCCCTAGCTCTCTCCTCTTCCCCACCCCTTCAGACTTCGAACAGGAGTCAGGCATTGAGACAGCCATGCGGTTCAGCCCAGACGTGGCCGTGGCGGTATCTACCACCCCTGCAGTGCTGCCCACTGTGGACATCCAGCCTGTGGGCACCCCACTGGAAGAGCTTCCCTCTGAGCAGCCCACCCCGGAGCCAGCCACCAGCCCCCCAGTGGTGACGGAGGCTGCGGAAGAGCCCAGCCAGAGAGCCACCACCATCTCCACGCCCATGGCCACCACTGCCGCCACAACAGCTGCCACGACTGCGGGGGCGCTGACTGTGGCCACGGTGCCCGCCACAGTGGCCACCGCCGCCCCCAGTGTGCCTGCGGCTCCCCCTTCCACAGCCATCACCCCTGTCCTAAGGACCACCGGCATACAGAGGCTCCTGCCTCTTCCGTTGACCACGGCAGCCACAGCCCGGGCCACCACCCCCACAGCACCCTCCCCTCCCACCACGGTGGCCGTCTTGGACACGGAGGCCCCAACACCTAGGCTGGTCAGCACAGCTACCTCTAGGCCAAGGGCGCTTCCCAGGCCAGCTACCACCCAGGAGCCTGACAGCCCTGAGAAGAGCACCTTGCCCCTGGGTACCACGGCCCCTGGACCCACAGAAGTGGCTCAGGTGAGCAGATTGGGAGAGGATGGGGACCGAGGGCAGAGGAGGGTGGGCCAGGCCCGAGCAGGGGCGGGTGCAGCTGGACAGGGCGAGGACCAGGAGGGTCTGGATGTGAGCCAGACATGGATTGAGAGGGAGAGAGGCTGAGGTGGAGGGCCAAGGCTGGGGGGGGGGTGAGTCACCGGATGGGGTCAGAGGTTGAGGTGGATGGGGACAGAAGGGAGACTGCACCTGGGGCTTAGGATGCTGGGACAGGATATGGATGGGGAAGGAGCCGGGTGGAGCGTGGCTGGGGGCGGCCGCACAGGGCCGGGAGCTCAGGAAGGCACTGATTCTTTCTGCACGTCCATTTCCTCACCTGGGAGAAGGAGGAAATAACAGGATGCAGACCCTCGTGTGGCGGGAATCATCTAGAGTGCCTAGAACAGCACCTGGCCATGGTAAACCGGTCAGAACGTTCAGTATCGTCATGGTCACTGCCATCACCGCTGTGGTGAGGGTGACTAGGGGGAGGCCGAGGGAGAGGAGAACTCTCCGCTCACTTGTGTGATGTGCTGCCCAGGCGGCTGGCTCAGAGCGGAGCGTCCCCGTGCCCCCCTTCACCCTGGCACCTGCCCTGTGGGCGGCCGGCCCTGCGTCTTCCTCCTTCTACAGACCAGGCCTCACTGGCAGGATTTGAGCCCCGCAGTCGGCTCTAGAGAGAGGCCAGGGTATGTTTGTGTGTGTGTGTGTGTGTGTGTGTGTGTGTGTGTGTGTGTGTGTGTGTGTGTGTGTTTGGGGTGTTAAGGGGTGCTGAGGATGTCAGGAATGGGGGGGAATGTGTGAGATCTAGGAAATGGGAGCAGTAGCCGGGTGCCTGCTGGGTGTGCCGGGCAAGGAGGGGAGGAAGCCGCGCTGATGGGGGTACAAAAGCCCTTTGTAGCCGGCCTCGCGGAGGGAGGGGGCCCTCGGGTGATAGGGGTACCTTCAGGTCCTGTCAGCCCCGTGACTCCCCAGCCAGCCCCTGGGGGATGCAGACCCCTTAGCTCCTCTGAGCAGCCTGGGGGGTGGGGGCAGCCTGGGGCTTCATAGACGCTGGCCAAGCAGGAAGGGGAAACAGTGAGAGGGTGCCGAGGGCAGGGCATCAGGCCCACCTCACCCTGCTCACCCCCGAGGCGTCTACATCCCCGCGCCCATCCCAGCCGCTACGCTGGCTTCCTGGTCTCGTGCCTCCAAGACCAAGAGGTCTCGCATCATCCTCTGCATTTGTACACTTGAACTGATACCCCCCCACCCCCTGCAGGCTGAGGGACTCACCCCTGCCCCAGGTATGGGGACGGGGGACCAGGCAGCACCTAGCAGTCCCCAAACAGCAACTCGACAGCGCTCTCTCAACAATCATGATTACTAAGGACGGCTAGAGGGGGAGGTGACAGATGGAGTGGGGACAGGTGTGGCCAGGTGAGAACAGATGCAGTGTGGGGTGGTTATGAACAAGGTGTTGGAATTGGATGGATCTGGAGTTTCATTCTGCTTCCAAACTGCTTACTAGCTGCACGTCCTTGGCAAGTCACTTAACATCTCTGAACCTATTTCCAGCCCCGTAAGTCAAGGGTAATAATACCTCCTTCGTGGGGGTGTTGTGAGGGCAAAGCACCTGTCTTGTGCTCAGCACAGTGCCTGGCACCTAATGAGTGCTTAGTAAGTAAGTGTCAGACCCACTTGGGATGGGGGAGTGGTTTGGCTTGGGGGGCGGGATGCCCCACGGCAGGAGGGGCTGAGGCCTGGTTCCTAGGCTCATGCCCCCCTCCCTACAGACCCCAACTCCCGAGTCCGTCCTGACCACGATCCGGGATGAGCCAGAGGTGCCCGTGAGCGGGGGGCCTAGTGGGGACTTCGAGCTGCCAGAGGAAGAGACGACGCAGCCCGACACAGCCAATGAGGTGGTGGCTGTGGGCGGGGCCGCAGCCAAGCCGTCACCTCCACCTGGGGCACTGCCCAAGGGGGCTCGCCCAGGCCCCGGCCTCCTGGACAATGCCATCGACTCGGGCAGCTCAGCCGCCCAGCTGCCTCAGAAGAGCATCCTGGAGCGGAAGGAGGTGCTTGTAGGTGAGGCATGGGGCCTGGGAGGGGCCCAGCATGAGGCAGCAGGTCGGGCCCTGGTTTGACCTCTGGGGCCCCAAGAAGAGGTCAGGGCATGGGTTTCTAGGAGCCTAGTCTCCTAGAAAGGGACCGCTGGGAACTCAACCCCCAGAGCCTCCTTCTGGTTCCTCCTCTGACCCTCCCCTGTCCCGGGGTCTGACCCTGCCTCCATCCTACTTCCGGTGAGGTCTGTGAATGCCAGTCCATGCCGCCTGTGCTAGAATTGGCTTCACTCCGCCCCACCCCCCACCCCCCCGCCTCAGATTCAAGACTCTCAGCCCCCTCCCCGCCCAGGACCTCTGTTCTCTCCCCAGGTTCTAAGCCTGGCCCACCTTGTCTTTAGCCCTTGACCTCCACCTTCTTCCTCCACAGCTGTGATTGTAGGTGGGGTGGTGGGTGCCCTGTTCGCTGCCTTCCTGGTCACTCTGCTCATCTACCGCATGAAGAAGAAGGACGAGGGCAGCTACACACTGGAGGAGCCCAAGCAGGCCAGCGTCACGTACCAGAAGCCCGACAAGCAGGAGGAATTCTACGCCTAGTGGAGCCACAGTGCCTCCCACAGCCTCAGCGTCACCCCTCTGCCCAGCCCCCGGCCCGGCCCCACCAGCCCTGGCCAGGGACTGGGTCTAGGGGGGGAGCCTGGCCCCGGTTCATCTCTGCCTGCCCTCCCAGGGTCTGCCCAGACTGCCAGCCTCACACAGATTTTACCTGAGGAACAGGGGGCGGCCATCTGCCCTCGTGGTGCCCTTATGAGCTCATCACTTGTCCCCGTCCTCCCCACAGTCAGCCTGGGGCTTCAGGACCTCGCGTCAGCTGGGCAGGAGGAAGGAAGCTCCGGATTGGCTGGTAGAAAGAAGGGGTGGGGCTTGAGATGGGCTCCAGGCCCCCAATCTGGCCCCCTCAGGGCTAGCTGAGGTCTCCTTTCGGAGGTGGAGGGGCGCGTGGGCTGATTTCCAGGACAGGCTTTCAGCAAGCTCAGCCCTCAAAATCATCAAGACACTGCAGCGTCGCGCTGCTGTCCCAGCGGCCCTCTCTGCCCGGGAGAGATGGGACCTCTCATCACCAGCCTGTTCTGCCCTGGCCTCTCTGGGGTGTGCGGCCATTCTCCCTTCGCCCGGTGCCTGTGTACCGCAGGCCTCACTTCATGCCGGTGTGCCCAGAAGGAATCGACTTCCTCAGGGTAGCCCGGCAGCCACTGGTGAGGACAGGCTGGGCCGCCTGGGCCTCCCTCCCTCTTGCAGGCGGCCTTTGCACCGACACCACCTCCCACACCGTCACGCATAACGTCACATACAAAGACAAAAGCGCACCATGACAAAATCTGACGCGATCTCAACCACCCCGCCAATGCAGACACGTCACGGACACACACATGCTTCCAAAGATGTTTATTCTCATGTGCTTCTCACGCCCCTTCCCCCCCTACCGATGCCCACAACAATGCAAGGCGCTAGTCATCGTCACCTGGGGGTGACAGTGTGGCCTGGCCCTCTCTCGGTCCCCCTTCCCCCATGCACACTGTGGCACCACTCACGTTGTCTCCAGCTTGCAGGCTCCCTGGAGAGGGTCAAGCTGGAACAGTCAGCCCATATTGGGTCCCCTGAGTCGCCCTGCCACGCTCAGCCCCTCCCCGCGACGCCAACACCAACCACAAGGCCGCCGACCCCAGCATGTCAGATACAACCCCAGGTGGATGCACGATCTTACCCCACACGCCCCGTGCTTGCGCTGGAGGGGAACCGGCGGGCACCCACCCCAGATACAGTGTGGCGTGTGGGAGGGGGGGAATGTTGCCACAACCCCTCCCTCCCAGGGCATTGCACCGATCGGTGGGATCCGTGGGGCCTGCCCCCCTCCCATCTGTAGCTCGCCAAGGGGTAAGTTGAGGGCCAGTCACCCCCCACCCCCCACCCCCAGCTAAGAGCCTTGCTGAGGAAGGCAGGCTGGTTCCTGGAATGTGGCCCCAGGCCGCAGAGCCACAAGGCCTGGGTGAGGAGGGGTGTGCCGCCTGACTCCCGGCCTCCCTGTACCCTCTCCTGCTCTGAGCTCGGGGCTGACTCTGCCTCCCAGGACACAAGTCTCCAAAGTGCCTGCGAGGGTGGGCCCTGGCGCCTGGGCCTCCTGCACCCTCTCGGTGGCCTCGCTGGGCCCACCTCGGTCCTGCTCTGGGGCCCTCCTCCGTGGACACCTGCCCACTCCTTGGCCAGACAAGCCGGTGGGCCTCCCGGCTGTGGCTGGATAAACCTGCAGTCAGAAGCAAGCCGTCCAGCACATTGCCCCAGGCCGGGAGCTGAGAGCCGGAGGGGCTGGGGGCGTCCCAGGCCTCGGCCTGCCTCCCCCTTCTGTGTTACCCTTGGGCAGGGGCCGCTTCTGTAGATATTTTAAATGTGAGGGTCACAGATCTCCTTCAAGGAGGAGGGTGTGATTGGTGGGGGCTCCTGAGGCCACGGGATGCGGTCTGAGTTGCGGTTGGCTGGTGCTCACTCCCCACCCCCACCCCTCACCTTTGACCCAGATTAAAGTCAGGAACCCAGCTTTTATTTCTGTTCCCTTTTCTAGACTCCCTGGCAGCAGATGTCTGCAGGGTGAGGGGTGGGGGTGCCCGAGGCGGTGAGAGCAAGGCTCCAGGGTACTTCTGCACCCCATCTTTTCCACCATCCTGCTTCCAGGCTGGGGCTCCGTCTTTTTCGGACTCACTGTCCCCCCTGGGCAGGACCTGGAGGCCTGTGAGGGACCCAGCCCAGTCGGTCCCAAACTTTGAGATGGGCGGGAGTGAGCAGAGGCACCCTGGGCCCGTGACTTGGTGAAGACGAGGCAGCCTGGCCTCAGTCATCCCTGGAGCGGGAGGGCCGTGCGATGGGGGACTGAAGTCTCGGCCTCCCTCTACCCTGCTCTCTGGTGGGCTGCTGTCTGGGGGCTGGCAGCCCTGACGACAAGGCCTGGCAGGCCAAGGCTGAGAAGCCAGGGAGCATGGAGGGGAGGGGACGCGAACCCAGGGATGGTGGGCGCCGGGTAGGAGACCCCTGCATGGGCCACACGTAGCCCATGGTGGGGCGGGGCCCTGCAGGGGTGGATGAGCTGGGCTTGGCCAGGCTGGAGTGGGCTTGGTGTGGCCCGCAGGGATGCAGTCTGGTCCCTGCATCCTGAGGTCTGGCTTCTGACTTGGGACTTGGGGCCTTGCCTCCTGGCACTGGTCCCTTCTCTTTGTCCTTAGCATTTGAGAGAAGGGGCCAAGGGCCCCGTTCATGGAGCCCTGGACCTGAGCCCAGTGCCCAGGCTTTTATCGTCGTGAAATTGAACACAGTCTGACTGGCCCAAACTCCGGGCAGCCCGCCTCGGGCAGGGCAGTCCAGGAGAGAGGTCGGTTAGAAGGATGAGCTGGGGCTCTCCTAGGTGCAATGTGGGTGCGGGGCTCTCGCTCTGCCTGGGCACAAGATATGATGCATGCAGGGCCTGCCCAGATGGGGTGCCTGGGGAGGGTGTCCCGCAGGACCCTGGCGGTTCCTAGAAGCAGGGCAAATTCCAAAGGGTGGGGGGGAGAGCTTGTGTGGCCAGAGAACCTCTCTGGGGCCCCAGCTGCCAGGGAGGGTGGCTGGGGCCTAGGGAGGTGGGGTTTGGGCCCACGCTCTGGCTGTGACTTCTAGAACCCAGTCTCTGGCTCTCTGAGGGGCCATAGGGGGGTACCTCTCCTGAAAGGTTTGTCCCCTTGTGCCCTGGAGGTGGATGGGTGGTAACCGGGGGCTGGGTGAGGCAGGTCTTCGGGCAGTGGCCTAGGGCGCTTAGGCCAGAACCCCCCATCCCCCAACCAGGGGGGGGATGGGCAAAGCCATCTGTCCAGGCCTCCAGGCTCGGGCCCTGGGCACAGGAAGCAGGCCCATCTCTGCCTGTCGGGTGGGACAGGACTGGCCACCACCTCCTGGGCTCTCCCAGATTTCTCCTGACCGCCACCACCCTGAACTTGCTTCCTCAGGCCTCCAGCCTGTAAATAGAAGCCCACGCACTGTACAGATCTACAGAGATGCCGAGACTGGGGCGCAGAAGTGGCCATCTAAGGTCTGAGGGGACCAGCGCCCCCGGTGCCCACCTGGCAACTCTGTGCACCCAGCCCCAGCGTGGCAAATACATGTAAATATTTTTCGTAGGCGGTGTGGCTCCAGAGAGTCCCCGGAAGACAGTGTCCCTCCTGTGCGTCCTTTCTCCTGTACAGAGCCCTTCAAGCACCCGGCCCCGGGGCGGGTGGGAGTCTGTCCTTCCCTCCCCCAAGCCTTCCCTGCCCTTTCTCTCCCCCCGTAACCTGTTTATTAACCATACCTGTCCTGAGTTCATGGCCAAATCTCGAAATAAGAAAAAGCGGAGGGGAAAAGACTGGAAAAAGAGACCCAGGTGCCTGCCCCCGCCCCTTGGGGGATCTCACCTGTCCTAGCCTCATGAAGGAGCTATTTGGGGTTTTTTTTTTTTTTTTTTTCTTTTCTTTTTTTTTAACACTTCCCGTGCTGTGCCCATTTATAAGAGGAAATAAAATTAAGCTGAAATGATACAGTGTGGCCTGAGTGTGAGATAAACGTGGGGGCTTTGGGGTAGGGGGCAGCCCGTGGCCTGCCTCAGACCTCAGCAACTTTCAGAAAAAAATTGAGAACCAAGCAGGGAAAATTGACCAGCAGCCTCTCATGGGAACCATTAGGGTAAAAGCTGCTGTCTGTTGAGAGTGTTCAGGAAACCACGAAGCTGCCTGTGGTCAGGCGGCGTGGAGGCTGCGGTTGGGCAGGGGCCAGGCTGTGGTGGCACTGGGGGCCCTGTGGTCCACCCAGGGGGAAAGGACTGGTTCCGGCCACAAAGAGAGAACGTTGGGACCACAGATATCAGAATCAGATCGCCTGAGGCCGGATGGTTTTGGGGTCAGGAGCCCTGGTTTCAAGCCCAGGAGCCATTCCCCAGCTCTGACTCTGGAGTGGCTACTTCCGAGCTTGCCGAGCCTCGATTTTCTCAGCTGTGAAATGGGATAACAGTCGCCATCCCCAGAATGGAATGGGGCAAGGATTCTATGAGGTAGAATACTGTGCCCAGTGCTAGAACAGAACAGAACTTCGGGAGAGGAGGTCCCTGGCTTGGAACCACAGACCCTAGGGTCCCAGGGTCGTAGAGCTGGGGGAGCCCTGTGCCAGCCCCCAGCCAGCACTGCTCTTGTGACAGGGCTTTGGCGTATCCTGGGGACCAGTCGGTCACTCTCCCTGTCGAAAAGTCCTCTTCTTTTCAGCCAGAATTGGCCTCTCCAGTGATTCTCTTCTCCGGGGGCACACCAGGCTCTGCCCTCTTGCCCTGGGATAGCCCCTGGGCGTGACGGTCACGTCGTGAACTTCCCTCCTCCAAGGGAAACCTCTGCAAGTCCTGAAAGCATTTCCTGCAGAAATTTCTTCCTCCTAAAATACTCACCCAGGGTCTTGATGTTTCCGGGGTGGGTTGCAGTCTAAGACCCGTTGATCTGATACAAGACCCTACCCATCCCTTCCTCGGTCTCTTTACTAAAGTCTCCTGAGTGCCTACTCTGTGCCAGGCCCCATGCTTGAACCTGGGGGACAGACCCAGCCCCCACCCACAGAGCACATAGTCTCCTGGGGAGACAGACCATAACCAGGGGCCGGTGACCATGTAATGACTCCAGCCTGGGGGTGGGAGGGTCTTTTCTCCTCAGTCACCACCTCCACCCATCCACCTCACTGCCAGACAGTTCTGGGACCCAGCTCCCAGGCCTGGGTCCTCGCTGTGGTCCCAGCGAGGTCCCCTGACAGCCTCGGGTCACACAGCTATAAAAGGGGGGAAGGGACCAGCCCTGTGCGACATCAAGGTTGATAACGGAAATGGGCCCCAGTTCAAAGCCCACTGTGATATGAGCAGTTGGTCGGCCACCATGCAAGTCCCACTCTTGACAAGGCCTCTCCTCCAGGAAGCTTCTGGAAGGTAATGCCATCCTCTTTCGGAATCCTGCATCCTAGAGCTGTCTCCCCTTCACCGCCTCCGCGTTCTCGTGCCACATACCCCTCTGGCATCCCCAGCTGGGAACGTGACTTCCCTTGAGTCACGTGGGCCAAGCTGTGTGCACTTGGGCCCAATGTTCTCCCTCTTGGAGCCTGTTTACGCACATCAAATGTGGGCGACAAGGTGAGTGTGGTGGAGATTAACTGAGATAATATATTGAAAACAATTAGGGGTGCCTAGGTGGCTCAGTTGGTTGGGAGTCTGACTTTAGCTCAGGTCACAATCTCACAGTCCATGGGTTCGAGCCCTGCTTCGGGCTCTGTGCTGACAGCTCGGAGCCTGGAGCCTGCTTTGGATTCTGTGTCTCCCTTTCTCTCTGCCCCTCCCCTGCTCACATTCTGTCTCGCTGTCTCTCAAAAATAAACATTTAAAAAAGAAAACAATTAGCATGACAGCTGAATTCTAGCCACTCTGTGGCTTTGGTCTTTCATTTATTTTAAATGTTTACTTATTTTTATTTTGAGAGAGAGGGAGTACATTGTGCAGGGGAGGAGCAGAGAGAGAGGAAGAAAGAGAATCCATGGAGCCTGACATGGGGCTCCATCTCACAAATGGCAAGATCATGACCTGAGCTGAAATCAAGACTCAGAAGCTCAACCCTTGAGCCCCCCAGACACCCCTGTGTCTTGGGTCTTTTATAAGCAGAACTTTATGCCAATCCCAGCCCTGCTCGCTGACTAGCTGTGCCACCTGGGCAGCTTATTCAAACCCGGCGCTCAGTTTTCTCACCTATATTAATTCTTTTTTTTTAAATATTTTTATTTATTTCTAGGAGAGAGAGAGAGAGAGCGTGAGCAGGGGAAGGTCAGAGAGAGAGGGAGATACAGACTCTGAAATAGGCTCCAGGCTCTGAGCTGGCAGTCAGCACAGAGCCTGACGTGGGGCTCGAACCCACAAACCGTGAGATCATGACCTAAGCGAAAGTCGGACGCTTAACAGACTAAGCCACCCAGGTGCCCCAGTTTTCTCACCTATAAAGTGGGGACAATAATAGTACTGGCTGTGCCTGGCATTGGGCAGGTGCTATACATCTGGGGGCTGAGTTCCGGGGCTGTCATTATTATCGTTATTATGATCTGCAGGGCCCAGTATGCTGCCTACTGAATGAGGACATGACACAGCATCTGGGTAGAAATCCAAATGTCCGTGTCCGCGCTGGTGTGAACCATGGCTTGGGCTGGGGCCCGCGAGGGCCTGGGTCGGCACCTGGGAATCATACACATGGGCCTCGCAGATGGGCGCGTGGGCACACAGGAGCTGCTGGGAGGTGGCGCGTTTCTCTCCGGGGCCCCTTGGCTCTGGGATGGAAACAGGCAGAGGGGGATGGAGGAAGAATAGCAGATTGTTCCCCTACGCCCAAGAGGTCATGGCCGCCTGCCCAAGCTGCTGGAAGAATAGAGGACACCCAGCTTGCAGGCCGCCCACCCTGTCTTTGCCGACCTGCAGGTGGGCTGGATGTGGATGGAGGGCCCAGGCTTCCTTCTAGGCTCCTCTGCTCTCAGGGAGG